AGATAAGAAAAGATTAATTTTTGGAAAGAAAACAAAATTGCCCCAAAACTTTCCTAAATTGATATCGGAACATGCAAGTTTGCATGATCCTTCCCATTTTGGAGAGAATTCATCCTCAAAATTCAATTTCTTTGGTGATCCAAAATTATGCTCTACTTCAAATGAACTCATTCTGGACTTTTAGATTTGAAAATAAGCACCAAACAAGATAATTTTTAAAAAATAAAATAAAATAAAATTGGTTTTATACTAGTCTATTCTAAACACCATGCATGGTTTTATGGTTTGCCTTCAAACACCAAAGCAGTCGATTTAGTAAGTCTTCCATTTCTTTAGATTTGAGACAATGAAAATATGATTATGGGTTTTGTTCAGTTCCAGAACAATATCATTTTGGGTTTACCTCACAAAAGCCAAGTAGCAACATAATTTATTACCAATCATATATATTAAGCAATTGAAAGTACCAGCACGTATTCTAGTTCAGACATGACAGGAATTGTTGGGACCATGAAAGATGACAACTGAAAGTACCAAAAAAAAAAAAAACCAGTCACAGCATGCAATTATAAGCAATTTGGATCAACATATATAATGCAGAGCAACCTTTCTTGAGCACATGCTATTGTTCTCTAGTTAACAAGGCAACAAAATCTATGAATTGTCCCTGCTCTTGTACTCTCACTGTCTCTTATAAATTCTTTGCTCTTCTTTCCCCTTATTATTGCAACATTAGGTACTCTATACTAAATCCACCCTTCTCTTCTCGGGGATAGGTTTCGGGTTCAAATCTTTGAGAGTTCATGAGATACAATAATACATGGAGATTCTTTATTTTATAATTAATTGGCTGTGAAATAAAAGACTTTATTTTGATCCAAAATATATATATATATATATATGTGTGTACTCCAAAATATTAAACAAAAAAGTACAGAATAAAAATCATGGCCACCATCTGAACATGACATTATATAATTGTACATGTTGTCTTCTCGTCCTACGTTTGCTTCCATGTCAAATCCATGTTAGAATGATTGATATCAACAGGATAATGGTTACTGTACCCAAAAAAAAAAAAAGGATTATAATTTGAGGAAAAAAAATGTATGTATAACACAATAAAAACTAAATTGTACTTCAAAATATAGTTGTCGGAAACAATTCCCATTAGATAGGGTAGGCAAGGGGAGGCAATCGAACTTAAAACCTCTTTCAACACTGGAAACAAAAATACTACTAAACGAAAAACTAGTTGGTTATAGAAAAAATCACTGGGCTTAGATGAACTTCAGCACATACAATGGACTTACCCAACCCAAAAAAGCTAGGTCAAGGATATGAAAGTCAACCAGCAAGACCAGGCAAAAGCCCATTGGCCCAATTAAGTCCATTCAAAGTTAGAGGGTATATGATATTAGGAAAAAATTTCTTATCAAACAACATAATATCATGTTATTTTGTTAAATTATAAATCAAAATCATTGGCCATGCATACATGTAGAATCTTGTTTGAATGTATTCAAATGTTTAGTGTAGACATCTTGCGGTCTGGAAATATTCTTTACATTCAAACAAGGTTCCACACGACATGTTAATGATCAAGTAAAAGAATATTACCTCATGGTAATTTTCTTTTAATTAATGTTAATCATTTTTTCAGTGCTTAAAACTGTATAAATGTACACCTACATGATATACGGTTTCTTTGAGAGATACGAGTACTAGACGATTCCGGCGAATTGAATCCCTTGCTCTTGCAATCTCCTCCAAAATAGCCTAAAATAAGGTTTAGAAAAGAACAAAGTGACTATAAAGATAAAGTAAAAACAATGATAATAAGCTGCAAGAAAACTGTGAATAAAGTTAATAAAATTAACTCTCTAGACTGTTTGATAAATCTAACTGATAGCTTACATGGTTTAAAGCATGCGAAGGCTGGCATATCCAACAAGTTCCATGAGCCTTGAGGGCATTGGCATGCGTATCCACTTCCATTGGTTACGCAGGTTCCATCACCACACCAAACAAGAGCACAGCCTGGAAATTAATTTTCATTGTTAATGCATAAAAAAGAAAGTGGAAGTATTTATGCATGGTAAACGAATAAAAATGTGATATGTATAGCATTACTTGTTTTCAGTCTTTTCGAAGTGAAAATGCATTTATGCATGGTAAACGAATAATTTTGCTATATCACCTTTTGGCGGAATTAGAGGAGCAGGTGGTGCGGGTGGTGAGGGAGATTCATCACACTGGAAATTAATCGTGCCTGCAAATAATCATCATATATGAAACCAATTATTGTGTCTCTATGTATTAAAAGAATAATCAAAGTGGAAATTCAATTGTGGCATGGAGCGGGTGAATTTCTGAACCTACTTCTCTGGTGTCTAGAGCATCCGCAATTCTAATTTACCTATAGTAAAAGTACCAATACTCTAAAAAATAAGGCAGATTAAAAGTCCATGCTGAAATGGTTTATTTTGTCAGTGGATTGCCATTCCATAATTAGGGGAAGAGTAAAAAGGAAAAATTATGTTAGTAACTTGTGATTAAAAAATAAAGGGAGTTTATTTTTCCACTATTTTTTCTTTCACTTACATTCTCTTTGTTGGAAATTATATATTATAGTAAAAAAAAAGTATTAAAAAATAAAATGGAGTGTAAGTGAACAAAGGGGGAGTGAGTGAGAAAATCAGCACCAAAAAAAAAAATCTCTAATTTTTATAGAAATAAAAGTATACATTAAATTATATAATAAACCATGTTAGCTCATAGCTCAATTGACTAATTTCTAATAATAATAATAATAATAATAATAAATTCTTTGAATACAAGCGATATTGGGTGAGGGAAAATGGTCTTTATTATTTGAGCTAAAACCATATATTATCAAAATGAAAATATGTTCAACAACATAATTAAAAGTTTACCTATTTTAATATGTATTTTTATTATTGTCATGCAACTAATTTCATTAAAAAAAATGGATGTTTTTGACTTTACAGGTTAATACATACTGAATTATATATGAAAGAAGGTAAATATATAAGTTTAATATTTTTTTATCCCAAAAACCTCACTGGGGATGTAGCCCTTGTGGTAATTCCACCCATGTTCACATGTCGATTGAAACAATGACAAAAAAATTATTTATCTTTTTGTATTTAACCAAATCACAATCTTCTTGTAATTAGCGTCCTTTTACTATTTTAATGCCAGCAAAATTGTGACAGCCGATTGATTATATTATATTACAGCTAGCCTGTCTTGCCAAGTGCCAGATTACAGTTAACAGTACCAAAAATTCACATCAATGAGGTGACTATATGATCAACTCTCTTAGAAAATATGGTTTGCTAAGTTGTAAATCAACATTGTTAGTTAGAAGAAAAAAACTACGCTTAAATGTATGATTTGGATTCACATTTTGACAATTCAACACACGTAATATCTTTCAAAAAAATATTCTTATGACATAATTTTCCTTCAAAACTAGGTGTAAATTTGGATCGACCAATGAATGTAGCAACTGTTTTAAACATTGATGCATAATGGTCATTCATTTATACATTAAACTAACACTTAAAAGGGCCTTGATTTGCAGTGCAGATCAGAGGTCCCAGGTTCGAATTCCCCATGACATTTTAGTTGTGTGTGTGTGACTACCGCTTCTACTAAAAAAAAAAAAACTTAAACTTAAAAGGCAACTTAATTTATCTCTTAAGTATTTACATTTTTTCTATACAAGCGATATTTGGGAATGGAGAATTGAACTTAGAATCTTGAATATAAGGGTAAATGCTTCTAAACACTTGAATGGCAAGCATTTACATTTGAGAGAGAGAGAGAGAGAGAGAGAGACTCACAGTTTGGAACACAAGTGGGGAGGCTCAATAGACCAACGTGAATCTTTACCCAACCAGGATTGCATTCACAGTCAAAACCAAGCAGTGTCTCATTAGAAGCCTTGCATACTCCTTCCCCACAATTTATATACTGACATTCAATATCTGCCATGCATGCCACATTATCATCACCACCACAACAAAAATTAAATATCAAACAAAAACACCATTTGCTCAAAACCCAAATCCAACTTAAACCCAATAATACAAATTTGAATTAAAATCTACATATATCAAATCAAACCAAGTTAATTAATTTCAAGGGCAAATAGGTTGCTATCTATTTTACCTCCTAGTGAGTTTGGTGAACTCAACTGTGTGGAAATGATTGTAGTTGGATACAAGGTGAAGAGGGCAAGGAGAAGAAGAAAAGAAATGAGATTGAGATTGAAATTGAAGGTTCCCATGATCTTTGTTGTGAGATGAGACAAGGTTGGTGGAGCAACTTAATTAAATTGGAAACAGCAATTTTATTTATAAAGGTGGTTTAGTGTTGTGGTTGTGGCAATATGCTCCCTCAAAATGCACCCATATTGCCGCCTTTTTTCTGTTTCACACTCTTTTTTTGATTTTTTTGTCTATGAAAAGCCAGCTTGGGGCATTGGATCATCACCAAAGACATTTTTTTCTTAACTCGATTCTTTTGTTTTAGGTTTCAAAACGCAGCCAAATTTTTAGGTCCGTCCAGCCAAGGAACTTTAGCCGTCCCAATCAATTGATGCAACCAAGTGCTCAAACTCGGAAGATGGGTTCGAGGAACAGGTGTCTTAGAAAAACAAAACAAATCAAAATCAAAACCAAAACCCTTCAGATCCGATCAAGTAGCGTTGTCAATCCACTCATGCTATAATATATATGTATATCTATTCATTGATATTGCACCCTAGATCCATGAAGCATCAACCACGTCGTCCATCAATCAATCCATATTATGACACATGGATTAGTAACACGTGGCACTGTACCTTCCCTTCCCGCCTAAAATATTTCCCTGCTTGTAGGCCATTTTGGCTTCGGAATTGGCCCATGAAAAATGTTTTGATGATAGCACATACATTCAATCATAAGGATGTTGTATCATTCTCTTACTGAATGTCAAGTTATAAATCATTGAATGAAATTTGCAGTGTATTAGTAGTATGAAGCAGATTATATACTCAGGCACGGTTACAGATACAAAATGGCACAACACTATGACACCTTTCCAACACTTGGAATGCACAAATAAATTTATGCCTAAATACAAAGGAAAAGATCAAGGAAAACAAGACACAATCACTCAGAAACTCGACCATGCAGTGCATCAATTTATCACCTACAATATGCGCTGATAAGATCTATCCTGATCCAAATTCGTTAAACCATTTCTCATGCCGTTCAATATCAGCTTGAGAAACACTCCGCTGGACCTTCCGCAAGGCTTCTTCGAAGTCACACATGGCAACGGGATCCTTTGAGATATCATCCTTGGACATGCTCTTAATCTCTTCACGCGTCTTTCCAGCTATTTTGCGCCTCATCCCATTCAGGGAAGCATCCCGGCAAACATTTGTGAGATCATCACCACTATATCCCTCTGTTCTGCGAGCCACATCATCAATATCTACGTCCTGAGCCACCTGATGCAGATAAATAGGAATAATTAGAAGCAATTTCCACACAAACCTTGGAAATAAACATAACATTTGTTTATTTTCTTATAATAACATGTATGAGAAAAATTTACTTGCTCAAATTACGGTTTGACTACAATAACATAACAATAATACAATATTCGTAGTCAGTTGTTACCTCGACAGATTTCAAATTTATCCGAATAAGGGCTTTACGGCTCTCAAAATTTGGTAGCGGAATATATATACGCTTCTCCAGCCTCCTCCTGAATGAGTGACACTAGGTTAGATACATCAAGAGCGAACAGGCGTAGTCCATTGGCAAGATGCAATATACACACAGCTGACCACATAAACTCTTTCCAACTCAAATTTGAAGGCTAGGAGACTGAAACATAAATACAACAAAATAAGGGCCAACCTGAGTGCCTCATCTATGTCCCATGGAAAGTTAGTAGCGGCCAGAACCATCACTATTTTACGAGTACCATCTTCATTTGTGCCAGTATTGTTGACCCCATCAACCTGAACTAGAAGTTCAGATTTCACCCTTCTGGATGACTCATGCTCCCCTGATGCCCTAGAGAAATTGAGGTTTTGAATTTGGGTCAACGCAAGAAAAGATGCCTCATGCATATGTAAGTTTTCCACGAATATAACATACATGCAATAACATCTGAGAAGTTAATTAAGATATTTATGTAAAACTAGATTAAAATCTTACCCCCGGGAATTGCAAAGTGAATCAATTTCATCAATGAATATTGTACTCGGCGCATAAGCTCTTGCAAGATCAAATAAGCACCGTACCATACGTTCACTCTCTCCACGCCATTTTGAAGCTAAAGTAGCAGACGAGACATTGAAAAAAGTTGTTCCACACTCAGTAGCAACAGCTTTAGCAAGTAACGTCTTCCCAGTTCCAGGAGGACCGAACATAAGAACACCCTTCCATGGCCTCCTAATTCCCTGCAAGCAAAGAAGAAATAAGTTCAATCTGAAGAATGGACCATCTGGATAGAGACATTTCAGCATGTAGAATAAGAATCAATTGCTTCACTGAAATGCAGAAATGTAAAGTAGATACAAATTAAAGCCTGCTTTTTCAAAGTACAGATGTGAACACTATTTGGGTCATACTAATGTAACTACTTTCATTTGGATTCGTTTCAATGTCGTCAAATATATTCCAGAACAACAACCATACAAAAAGTAGCTACACAATTCAAAGTAAGATCCTAAGGAAGTGCAGCTTGTTAACGAAACTTAAGTGATAACATAGGAAAGATCGCATGCAAATAGCCATGTACCCAAGATACCATTATCATAATTGAGTTTCAATTCAACAATACCTGAAAATATTCAGGCATCCACAAAGGAAGCACAACAGCTTCCTCTAGAAGTCTTTTTGCTTCAGTCAAACCAGCAACATCATCCCATCTCACTCCAGGACTGGTTTCCAGCACATCCCTTTCAAGCATTTCAGCCAAATCAGGATCCGGTCCCTCGTACTGTGACCTCTTTGACTTTCCATCTTCAGCATCACCATTCTAAAAATTTCAAAAACAAATCAGTCTGCAGGACAATGAAAGATACTGAAACTATAGATTCAAACTTTGATGCTAAAAACTACGACACCAGGTCATAGTTTTCCATCACCTTGCAAAACGGAAATATGAAGCAAATGATATCAAGACAAAAGTTTTTAGCACACCATAATTAACTAGTGATGCGTATTTGAATAATGATTATTGATAGAACTTACCGCTGAATCTGCCTTGCTAGATTTGCCGGAACCAGTGCCTTTCTTTCCAGTAGTAGATGTTCGAACCACTGAGTTAGACCTACTTGATCCACCAGCCTTTGTACCACGGCCAGGTGTGCCTGTTCTTGTAGCAGAGCCACGAGCCCAAGTTGCATCTTGTGGTGACTTCCTCATACCACCTGGGCCAGCCTTTCCAGGTCTTCTACCTGTAGTGTCCCGACTTGGTGGCCTCCACACATCAGGATCATCCATGGGCAAACCAGAAGAAGTTGGGTATTCATCTAAGGGTTGAAAAACAAATGACGACTTAGCATGAATTGGAGGCGACGAAGGGCGTCGGCCCAAGGGACTTTCCTTAAATGCTCTTCTCTCTGCATCTAATTGTTTCACAACCTCTGCCTCCTCGGTAAGTGCTTTCTTTACATTCATCCATTTCGAGCGAATCAACGGATCATCAAGTGTGTTTAGGTGCCTGGAAGCAAATAAGATATTCAAATCTCTGCCAAGTAAACTTAGGGAGGAACAATAATCACAAAATTAATGCTATAAATCATAGAACTCCAATGATACATTCAAAACAGATCATAGTCTGGCAAAGGCCCATCACGCTGTTTTGGTATAATATAGCACCTACAAAAAACTTCTACAAAGAAATTTTTTAACCCTATTAATCTTTGGATGCTATTTGATAATGAGAACTGGGAAAACATCATCCTCTCCACTCTTCCCCTGTTGTCATGTAAATGAATACACATAAAAAAAAAATCCAAAGCATATTCTTGTCAGGGCAAATCAACTGCACCCCTTGCAGTAGGCATATGGAATCCCCCCAACCCTCTCCCAAATAGTTTTCTTGCACAACTCATACCCCTTGTGGATTAATAAAAGCGAAAATCATAACCTTATAAAGTTAATTTTTTGCTCAATCTAGTTCAAATTTAATCATTTTATAAAAGTTGTTTCTTAGCTCAAATAGTTCAAACTTGAAAACATTGAAATTGTGCATATGTTGCAATCTCATGGTTTAGGAAAGCTCTATATAGTTCAAATTTCATGTTTGTAATCTCTACTTCATCAATTAATTCATGGTTTCCGACACCCTGAAAGTAGATAGTCAGTTCCTTCAGAATGCGATAGTAATAATCAGTAGGACTAATTCTTTTCTCATTTGTTCATTTTCATATACAAATCAGAAAAATAAAAGTAAAGGGCCTCTGGCACTCATTAACAAAAATTTCCTTCGAAGAATGCCCAAAAATTCTCTTTCCACCTCCAACACTTTCAATTATCACAAAACAATCAAAACGAATGGACATTTTCCCGGAAGATTGGTTATCCATTGAAAAGATGTAGGAAAATGTAGCTAGAAAAACCAAATCTTGAGGTCCGCATGAATCAAACAGAGACCCAAAAATGCAATTCCATATACGCTCAAATTTCAAAAGAATGACCAACCAAAACCTAGAAATTTGCACACATATCCGAGACAGATAAACTTGTAACGAAAAGGAAAAAGGAAAGAGCACAAAAATTAAAAAAATAAATAAAGAAATGTACTTGTTGATCTGAGCAATGCCACCATCAAAGAAGATCAAGGAGGTATCGTAGAGCCCTTCCATTGCGTACTCTCTCGCCAGCTTCAGGTGGTCTTGCAGACCCACCAGAGTTGGCCCCACCATTCTCTCTCTTTCACTCTCTCGCTCGCTGGCTCTGATTTCTAGGGTTCATGTACTGAGGAAGAAGAAGCTCAAACTCGAACTCAACAGTTTCTCTCTTTAGAACCCTCTGTCTTTCTCTAGGACGATGAAGCAGCCCAGGGAGCTTTTGACGTCGCCGTTTAAACGTTTCCAGGTTGGGGAGGAGAGGAATTTGTGAATTGACCAAATTGTCCTTGGCATTTAGTCGTTACGGGGTTGGGCTATGTTGGTGTGTGAGATTGGTTGTGGTTGTTGTTGAGTATGTAGGGCCCGCCCAACCGAAGTTTGAACACAACAGCTTGTTCAGTATAAAAAAAAAATATGGGCCCACAATGACCCAACCCAATACCCGTTTCATGATTTCTACTCATTTTCTTTCTTTTTGCTTTTTGCTTTTTCTTCTTTTTTTTCATTTTTTGAAGAGGTATGGTGGCAATTGGCAAACTCATTCTTAAATATTTCAAATTAAGGTTTCTTTCTAGTTCCCCACCCACCCTTGTGTCAAAAAGGAAAAAATAAGTTTCTTTTTCTTTCAATTTGTTTAAGTTATTGATGACTCTTGAAATGTTAAATCTTGTAACTTCTACCAAATGTTAAATCTTATAACTTTAGTGGTAGAGTACTTATACACACTCTTCGCAACTAGGAGAGAGAATAAATGAGTATGGCTACCTACCCTTCATCAATCTAGTTCATGGTTTTTAAAGTATTGGATTACGAATTGTAACATGAACACCACATACTTTTCAATTTCGTTAGTGTTAGCAGACACTGGAGAAGTCATGAGTTGAAATTACCCATGTGTGTGTTAAGAGGAAGTCAAGAATTACAATAATTATAATACCCATCCTAGTAAATAAACATATCAACAGAAAACACAATCATTCTCAAAGAAACCTTATTTTGGTGTCAGCATGAAAGAGTTTAGACTAATAGAGGCACAACTTATGATGGAACTACACAGCTTACTATTGTAACACAGTCAAAATTGTCTACCATACATACAGGAGCAACCAGGGCTGTGGTAGCTTCTACTTTCATTCTGGGAATTTGACACAATTTTTCAAAATGATTGTTTCCAATGCAGAAATAGTTCAAACAAAAGGAAAAGAAATATATGACCATATATATGTGAACATTTGAACCATGTATTGCATGTATTTTAAAGATCAATGTGTACAATAACAATACAAGCACATGTTAGAACTTAGGCATTGCCTACTTCATTGAAATTACTCTAATTCTTTTGCTGGCAGCAGACCCTCCATTATTCTAAAGAACCAGTTTCAAACTTGTGTAAACTGGCAAATAGACTTCCATTTCAATGTTGAATTAAATGCAATAGTTAAAGTTACTGAACCATTCCATCTCTGATCAATTCTTCTAACCCTCTCCTCAGCCTTTCTGCGGCAGCTTTGCAGTCATCCTCTAGCAAGCCACCAAAGGAGATTCTCACATTTCCTGGGCACCCACACGCACTTCCGGGGATCACCACCACCCCATGCCTGTGAGCAAGCCAGTGAACAAATTTATTGTCATCTACACATTTGTCTGGAAGCTTTGCCCACAAGTATATAGCACCTTCTCCACCTTTAACAGCATCTTTTCCGAGAGGGGAGAGCGCTTCTAGAACAATATTTTTATTCTTGACAAGACCTTTCACTCGTTCAGTGACCCATTCGGGTCCCATTTCCAATGAGTGGAGCGCAAGGTGCTGTGAAATTATTGACGCACAGATGGGAATGTTATCTTGAACTTTGAGGAGTTGGGTAGCAAAACCCTCTACTTCTGATGGGTATGCTATCTGCATAAATTCATCAATTGGCTTGAATCAGCAATGCTTACTCATGCATACATATGTTATCAAATACTTAGTTCAAAGAGAACAACCTTGACCATTTCAAGATCAATCAAAACTTCTATGACTCATGTTCATGCAAGGAAATGTCAAAAATATTTGATTGGTTAAATGGCTATTTGATAAGGTGATTGCCCATAAATGACCTTTTGACTCATGTTGATTTAGCTGATTTTCTTTGGCAGAATACACTACCACAAGAAACTTGAAGGTAATTATCAGCTAGCAAGATGCAAGCTCTATACCTTACTGAATGAAAGCAAAACTCAAATTCGTTTTCAAACCAGCTCTATCAACTTAACAAGCATAAGAGATAAGAAGTATTTCTTACATATCCAACTCGCCATCCCATCATCCCATAAGCTTTCGAGAAGGAAAAAATGTTGACTATGTGATTTCCCTCCACACATGTGTGTTTCAAATCATCATACATAAAATACCTGCAAAATCAAACTTTAAAACCCACATGTACTCTTGGATGCTTCAGAAGCAAACATTTAACACATTAATTCTTCAATCAAAAGCAGTTAACAATCCGACACCACTGGTGAAAAGGAAAGAAGAAAAAGATGTTTCTTTGAATACACTCAAGAGTACTCAGGTAAATAAGTCATCAATTTGGTATATATGTCATTCTTGATGGACCCAATCTAGTGCAAATGGAATGTATTAAAACCTATTTACACGTTAACATTTTGAACTCAGTGGACTTCAACTATTAATATAAGTGTATATAGGTACTAGGCAATATAACCGAGACAAACTAACCTCTGCTGAAGCAAAGGGCAAACTCACATAACTGCTATTCAAGAAAGTTATGGACTGACATTACTGTGGGTCCATAGTGTAGAGAGATTATAAAAGGCTTTCTTCAAAGAACTTTGATAAGGACAGAGAAATCTGTAGGCTCCCCCTTTTTAAAGCTACAGTAACCTATTCAAATGCTCAGTTGGACACACTGCCCAATTAAGGTTTTCTAAACAGTATTCCTGTCACTTTTGTAAATCCATTTTCCCTGGCATCCAAACATCTCAATCCAATTATAGGCAAAAAGTCATCTGAGTAAACATTCACTTCAGTAAAGCTCAGAATCTTTAAACTTGGAGATATTCAAAAGATGTCAGGGGGAGAAGGCCAAATGGTTCAGGTTATTTTTATTTTCAATAGAATGGAAGAATCAAACCAACTTACAGCCTCTTCCTTCTTTTGCTATTCTATTTTATTTCATCTTTTGCTTTCCTTCTGTACTATAATGGATCTCAGCCCCAATCTTCACATATCTTTACATAATTCCTCGTACAAAAACTCCAGATCAATTTGCATGCTAATCAAATTAGAAAAAAACTTGAATGTAGTATGCAGTTCACAATGTCAAACTTTTTTAATAGTCAGTGAAGTTTCATGGACAAAAACAGATGCAAGGATCACCATCATTGTTGCCATGAAATCAACTGAGATTTTGATCAGAGTAACTTCCATTCCTCCTAAAAGGGAACCCACAGGCAATGTTATGTGTGTGCCCTGAGATTTATACCAATGAATACACCCATGTTTGAACATGGACCAAATTCTAGATGAGAATCATATAAATCCATGTCATCAAGTCAGCAAAATAATGACTTAAGAACATATTATTGCAGCATTTCCAATCAGATAAAATTTAATACACTTACTCGTATGTATTATCCACAACAAGCCATGATCCAGCGTCTCTACAAATATCTGAAATCCTCTACTCACAAAGAGAGGAAAGAAAATAAGAAAAGCATATAGAATATCTCTAAGAAACCAAACAGTTTATTCACTCAATCAACACAACAAACTTTTTTGTATGCATACACAATCACAACAGCAAACTCTTTTGTACATAGACACGAATTGAGAGAGAGAGAGAGAGAGAGAGAGAGAGAGAGAGACCTTAAGAAGAGGGTCCGGAATATAGGTTCCACTTGGGTTGCCAGGATTAACAACCGTAACAAGTTTTGGGGTTGGCTTTGTTTCCGATAAGGTTTTCTCCAACCAGTCTGAAATAACAAAGTAGTATATATGATGTAAAGAAAGAATATTCACTGGACATACTCTACAGTCAATCACATTGCTTTATCTCAAATTCCACAAACATATTAATTCTCCAATCCACCTGGTAGAGAATTTGTGTGCCCCTTTTAATTCGTTCAATTTTAATCTAACATCAAGCACAAGCCCACCTATTTATGGGGCATCAATAGAAGATGCAACTTATATGTATAATGTACCTTAATTATGCATAGAAGCAATCAGACAATCCAATGCATGACAAATGATCCAAGTTGTAACTATCATGCCTGCCCCAGCACGTCCAAGATGGACTGTTGGAATGCACCAATAATTTATCACGAACCTAATGTAATATGTTATGATACTTTAGCAGTCTCAATATAAGTGATTAGACAGGGGAACTAAATATATGCAGCAGTCACAATTTATCATGCAATGACAACAGAAGATAACAAGCCTTTTTACTTGATTCGACCAATGGCAAACATTACACCCTTTCTGATACTGTGTGCTTATATTTATATCAGATAGAAAGAGTAGAAATATCATTCGATGGAAGTTCAAAAATGTTGTCATTCTTTTATGTCCCTCTGCAATGAGAAGTTCATTAAGCTTCTCACCTGCATCTGGGTAAAGTGTCTCTGGGTGGCCAGGACCCACCAATATATTAGTGACTCCGGTCATCTGGAAGGACATGTAGGCATTGAAGTAGTATGGTGCAAACATAACCACAGAATCCCCGGAATCACACAATGTAAGAACAAGGTTCACAAATGCCTGCATTGAAATTGTTACAAAGTTATCCCAGATTTCTTGAAATGAGTTCTGTAAAACTCAATATTTGTTGTCATATTCAAAAGGCTGAGCAACTAGAGATCAAAATAAATTGCAAAGATGACCATAATGTATGATTTTTTTAAGGTTATGTGTCTGAATCAGATGGTGCTACAGCTGCAAATATGAAATTCACCGGGCAACACAATTTTCCAGAGAAATATTTTATTTTTATCCTAATAGGTGCTAATCACTCGAAGTTTAGCAGGGAAGTCAATTTACTCCTCATTTTGGCTGCTAAGTTGCACAAATTATAAAACAAATAATTTGCCTTTCCAAACTTAACTTTGGTTTCTTTTCAAGATAAAGATATTTGTTCTTTTTTTATATGCAAATACACAACATAAAATACAATGATAATCACCTGATTTGCACCTGAAGTAACCATCACTGAAGATTTGTACAACTTATTTTCATTATGCAACTGCAAAATAAAGAAGGAAAAAAAAAAAGAGATGACAAAAGATGTTATAAATTTGTAGTTGCATTGTCATATTTTCAAAAATATTGATCTCAGACAAAGACAACAATCCTTGGCATAGTCCCTAAAGGGTAATTGTTAATAATGACATATAAAACAGAATATGACAAGCCATATATTATTCGAATATAACATTGAACAGAGAACCCCAAGTATCTCAACCGTATTAAGAGATTAAAATCGATCATAATTAGGAGAAACACTGAACTATTTCTAATCATACCTTTTTTACCAATGCCTCCCTGAGTTCAAGTATACCTTCATCAAAACCGTAACGACTAATTGAAGGCTCCCATACAAGTTCTTTCACCTTATCCAAAGCCTGTTTGGGTGGTTGCCAGTGAACTACTCCCTACAGCACATTTCAACCAAAGAACATTTAAGCCTATTTTCCAAACCTAACTAAGGGATAGAGAACACATAAAATAAGCAGTGATGCAAGAAAACTCCAATGTGATGAACAAATTCAAACTGCTTTTTAGAACATCCGTTCTGGCATGCATGCATATAATGCAACCCTCCGTTAAAAAATAGATAAATAAAAATAACATAAACAAGTTAGCAGATTTGGCAAAATATAGATTAAAAAATTGGTCAGGAATTTGGTGAACATAAATTAACATATAACAAAATAGAGTGTTTTATTTCATTAAGTTAACAAGTTGGCTCATGTTTGACAATTGGAACGGACTGGCTCCAATTAGTCATGATTTCAGAGATATGTTATTTGGTTCTCTATAATAGTTTTCATCTTGAAAGATGCATGTTTCAATTATTAAAATATTGGCACAAAAACTACTATAGGAAAAGGTTGCAATTCTTCTCTCATTTTGTGTTTCTTAAAAAGTATTTACAGCCAGAAAAGTAAACCAGATATGCACACACAAAGAGCTTGTTCACTCTTTAGGTGCATAGCTTCCTAGTCAAACACTCATTCTAACATGAATTATCAAATGCCTCTTTTGTATCACATTCATCGTTTCCAGCAATCAGAATCAGCACCAAACACGCCCTCACCCTCAAAGAACAAACTAAACGGTTTTCATTGTCCAATAACTTGGGTTTATCATTTATCTCAACGCCAAAACCAAATAAAAAATCATTTTCACTTCTCAATGCCTCCATGGTTACAGCAAAACATAAAACCAATCAAAATGAGATTTTAGTCCTTGGGATAAGAGAAACAAACCTGGGCCAGTGACATAGCATTCTTGGCTCCTCGAAACAATTGTTGTATCTGCAAAAACAACTACCATTTTCACCAAAACATATACTTTGGAACTACACCACAAACAATTCACACCCAAAGAAGAAGACCCAAAATTTGGAGATAAAGCAGATTTAGTTCAAAGAATTACAAAAAACCCAGTTGGAGTTTTTGCCTGAATACCTGAACCATGATCGGCATCTCAGTCTCCACAGCCCTCTTTGCAAGTTTTCCATATGAACCCATCTAGCCAACCAAACCCAATCCTCACAAATGATCTCCAAAATATAGCTATGCAACCCAATTACTGACCCTCCTCAAAACCCAAATTCTGAAACTTTCCCAGAAGGCAATGAAGAGAAGAAGAGATAAAAATAAAAGCTTTTTGTTTTTTTGCTTCAAGGATAAGACCTCCACCTACCCAAAAAGCCTCCACCCTCACAACGTTTGGCACTTCTCTATCAATACGTTAACAAAGTAGGTAACGTTTATCAGCTAAGAGAGGAGACCATGTCTGCACGCGTCAACAACCCCAATTGCGTATTATAATTCCTCTCTCTGCATAATAAACAGTCCGAAAAAGATAAGGCAATTATACCAAACGCTTTTCTTTTACTTTTATTTCTTTTTCTTTTCTCTGTTCACTTTCAGAAAACAGATACTGAGTTGCGCATGGTATTTTTGGTACGTTTCTTTGACTTGCTTTTGTCTCCTGCTTGATGAATAATCTCATTTTCTTTTACCTTTTAGCTCTGCCGGAAAAGAAATCCACCGTTTTCACTTTTGCCTGGATGGACTTTAGTTAGGCAAATAAAATAAAATAAAAGCTCTTTCTTTTTCTGTATTTAAATTTCATTTTTGAACCAGAGTAAACCAGAAGAAAAAAAAAACCCCCAGAATGAGCTGAATCATCTCAAATGGAAAATTATAGAATGGTAAGTAAATTATTTTTGAAGTTTATGACCATTTTTTTTATGATTGTAATGTGGAATCTCCGAAAATTATGCTTACATTTACCAATTTTTTATCTTCTGTTTTGTTTAATGCAGTTGGGTCAAGTGTCGAAAACAGAGTAGCAGAAACAGGGGATCCACAAGACTTGGTGGAGTTCCCATATTTCTGAACCACCCATTTTCTGCACCAGAATTTGGAGAATAGCAAGCAAAATAAAACATCTTATTTAGAAATTTCAAGGAAAAGACTTTTCCTGATTTGCTACGAAATTAGAGCCCCTCAAAATGACACAGCATGGTTTTTAATTTTTGCCTGCAAGAGATTCTCTATCACAGACTCTCGCCATCTTTTAATTGCAAAATGCAGAGAAAAATGGAGTTTTGAAAAAAAAAAAACTGGCATCTTGGAATCAGAGCTTAGGAAGCAAACACAACCATTTGGTGTGATGTTCTATTCTGCAATAATATGTCCTCTTGATCTAAAGTCCGTATTGTATTTATTTTTATTGTACTTTAAATTTATTTTGTGCGAAGAGCCCTCTCAATTATGTAATTTGCAAAGTTATTCTCCTTTTGTTTCCCAAATTTTCAACTTTACTAGTATGTTTAGTTTAGTTATCTGAAATGGGCATCAGGATTATTCTGCTTCTTGACTTCCATCACGTTTACTGATTTACACAATTCATGACTTCCATATTTCATATAAGTAAACATATCATATGGTACATATGGAGTTATGTCTAAGTTATCGAATACTTGATAACTACTCTCTTAACATGTCTAAATTGTCCAAGAATTTTTTAAAATATTTTTTTAGGATGAGTAGAGTTTATTTAGATGTGTATTAGGTATGATTTATTATGTTTTACAAAGATTTATAATTGTTGATGCCCAAAAATGGATGATTACTGATGGGACCAACTTAAAGGTGTCTTGCCTTCGATTATGGACCTCCTTAGCGCAAAGACGGTGAGACCTTGGCACCAGTGTGGTATTGGCCGAAAGCTCTCTTATACTTAAGTTAGCTAAGTATAGAGTGAGTGGGTAATTTAGTAAAGTAAGGGTACAATAGCCAAATTACTATTATTTTGTGCATTTGGGCAAATGCCCTATTTATAAAGGAGATGAGAGGAACCTTGAGGTAATATTTCGATGTGGAACTTGTGGACATCACTTGTGGGGCTGCCAGGTGTCCTTGGTCTTAGGAGGGCCTTTGTTGGTCTTGATCAGCAATTGAACTTGCTGATGCTTGTTGTTTTTGGTCTCTTGGTACCAAAGAGGCTAATCAGATACAATACAAACAATAATTTAACATATAAAAATTATGGATTTTTAGTAAAGACATATTGGTGAAATTACATTGCAGTAGTGTTGTGAGGGTCATGCGCAACTATTATACAACAACGTAACTGCGCAATCGGCAAGTGTTATTGTCAGCAAGGTCTAAAATATCTGGAGTTTCGGAAATATCGGTGGTCCAAAAACACGGATATATCGATGGAAATATCAAGGAAATATCGATATCGATAAAAATTGAATAAAAATCACGGAAATTATGAGAAAAACTTGGAAATTTTTATTGACACTTTAGAGGATGTTTACTTAGTCAATTGTCTATTATTTTATCACAAAAATTGGAAGGAAATGCATGGCATGGTGGGTTTGAGTGAGTTAAGTTGATTATGTAGCGACCTGACAAACACTGTGACTTTAGAAAATATGTAGTAATTAATGAAAGAAAATTAAACACACCATAATTTTTTAGTTATAATAATGTACTTCAATATATTACACTTGATACATATGATAAAATATATGAGCTTAACCAAAAAAACAAAGATAAAATGTATGAGTAACTTAGTACCACATAGAAATAATTCCTATTAAAATTCAAACTTAGTATCACATATAATGAACAATATTAAAACTCGAAGTGAATAATAATAAAACTCCATAATATATAACAACAACAAAATACTACTCCATTATAAAATAATAAATAACATTAAATATATGCTTAAATTTATTCTTAGGGAATTTTTTTAATATGGAAATTTATCTTAGATAATATTAGCTTGCAGACATTTTTAAAGACCTTATAAATATTACAAGTTGAAGGTGTAAACAAAAACTTAGCCGTAGCTGAGTTGGATAAGGCGCTGGCTTTGATGAGAAAGGGAGGGGGTTCGAATCCCTCTGTGCGCAAGATGGAGGCTTTTCAACATTTTTCTTGTCTTTTTCAGTTTCATATCGCGATATTATCGATATATTGACCATTTCAGATTGAATTTGAACGAAAATATCGGTCTTGATATTTCGGCGATATTATCGCCGAAATATCGGCGATAATATCGAAATTTAATTCATTGGTTGTCAGTTGCCAAGCATTATCCTATAAACCTTTTTTGTGTTTAGGAGGTCAAGCAAACTAAAACATAAACATGTGGAGAGAATAAAGAATATAGCAGCTTTTACATGTTGTAATGGTGGTGATGAAAAGACAAGAGAAAGTTTACAATGAGAAAATAACTTTTGTAAGCCAATGTATATGGACCTACTCTTATTCTTCTATCTTATTCTCTTTTTCATTTCTTTTTTTCTTCAAGAGTCTACAATTTGGCATAGTCATTTTCATCATTATGACTAATAGTGGATGCAGAAAAAGGTAATAATACCTATATGTGCACATTCTTCCTTAGTTCCTCATATCTGTATTGAGACCTAAGAATGATCATTTCCTATATATGCTAATTAATTCTAAAATTCCTACTAGACCATCTTAAAAGGTAACCAAAGAGAGGAGGAGGAAGAATAAGCAAAATAATAATGGACATTGTCCTACATATTACTATGTTGATCTTGTAGTCTTTGACTGCAATACAAGCATCAGAACCCATTGCAAAGTCAAATTGTGATCTTTAACTGTAATTTCGGCCGAGTTGGGCCACCCTTGCCTTTAGTGGGGTTAGCCCATGCTTTACCTAATTACAAGATTTTTTGGCCCATAAGGTTGAATGGACATGGACGGGCCCTATCCATGTGCTAACATCTATCTCTGCATATTAAGGTGGATTTCTACATTTGGCTTGTATATCCATCATATTTTACCACATAGAACTTGAGAGGACAAGTAAGCAACCTTATTTTGGTATAATGGACTAAGTAGTTGCAAAAGAGTTAATAACAACTATCTCTGCACCTTCTTCATCAATTCTTCATTTCTGTATTCAGACATGAGAATGATCGTTTCCTATATATGCTAATTAATTCCAAACTTCCTACTAAACCGTCATAGAAGGTAAACAAATATAGGAGGAAGATTAAGAAGCAGAAGAATGGACATTAGCCTTCATATTACTTTGTTGATCTTTAACTGCAGTACAAGCATCAAAAGCATCCATTGTGAAGCCAAACTATGGTATTTGACTGTAAATCAGCCTAGTAGGGACAGTCCAGCCTGCAGTAGGGTTAGCCTAGGCTCTACCAAGTCACAGGATTTTTTGGCCCTTAGATTGAACAGACAGGGTCGGACCCACCCTACCTTGAATAGGTTAAACCCATGCCTGAACAACTATCTCTGCATATCTAGCTGGCTTTCTACATTCGGCATGTATATCCATCACATTTTACCACATAAAATTTGAGAGGACGAGCAAGCAACCTTCTTTTGGTATAATGGACTAAGTAGTTGCAGAAGAGCTAATAACAATTATCTTTGCACATTCTTCATCAGTTCCTCATTTTTGTATTGAGACATGAGAATGATCGTTTCCTATATATGCTAATTAATTCTAAATTTCCTCCTAGAGTGTCATAGAAGGTAACCAATTAGAGGCGGAAGAAGAAGAAGTAGAATAATGAACATTGTCTTTCATATTACTCTATTAAGCTTGTGGTCTTTGACTACAGTACAAGCATCAAAAGCACCCATTGCAAAGCCAAATTGTTGTTTTTTACTCTAAAATAGGCCTAGCCAAGCAATTCAAACCTTGAGTGGGGTTAGCCGAGGCCTTACCTAGTCAAGGGTTTTTCTGGTCCTTAGGGTTGAATGGACATGGTCGAGCCCCACCCTATCTTAAATAGGCTAAGCTCATGCTTTAACAACTTTCTTTGCATATCTAGTCAGCTGTCTACATTTTCCATGTATATCCATTACATTTTACCATATAAAACTTGAAAGGACGAGCAAGCAACCTTCTTTTTATATAATGGACTAAGTAGAAGAAGAAGGTAATAACAACTATCTATGCACATTCTTCATATGTTCCTCATTTATATATTGAGACATGAGAATGATCATTTCCAATTTATGCTAATTAATTCCAAACTTCCTACCAGACCATCATAGAAGGTAACCAAAGAAAGGTGGAAGAAGAAGATGCAAACGAATAGACATTGTCCTTCATAATACAATGCTCCTCTTGTGGTAATTGATTGTAGTACAAGAATTAGAACCATGCATTGCAAAGCCAAATTGTGGTCTTCGAGTGCAAAATGGGCCGAGCTGAACCAGTCTAACATTGAGTGGGGTTAGCCTAGGCTCTACCTAGTTATGAGTTTTTTGGCCTTTAAGGTTGAAGGGACAGGGTCAGGCCAACCCTATCTTAATTAGGCTAAGCCCATGCCCTAACAACTATCTCTGCATATCCAGTTGGCTTTCTACATTCAGCTTCTATTCTTAAGCAACATTTCTTTTGTATAATGGACTAAGTAGCTGCAGAATAAGGTAATAACAACTGTATGTGCAGCTTCTTCATAAGTTCCTCATTTATGTATTGAGACCTGAGAATGATTGTTTCTTATATATGCTAATTAATTTCAAACTTCCTACTAGATCGTCATAGAAGGTAACCAAAGAGAGAATGAAGAAGGAGAAGCAAAAGAGTGGACATTGTCCTTTATATTACTATGTTGATCATGTGGTCTTTGACTGCAATACAAGCATTAGAAGCACCCATTGCAAAGCCAAATTGTGGTATTTGACTGTAAAATGGGCAGAGTTGGGCTAGTCCAGCCTTAAGTGGGGTTAGCCTATGCTCTACCTAGCCACAGACTTTTTTGGCTTAGGGTTGAACATACAGGGTCAGGCCCATCCTATCTTAAATAGGGAACTGAAGTTGGCCCGTAGATCGTGAGCTCTGTCCTACATTATCTTTAACCAATTTCAGGTTTTGATGTGGACTATCTGCAACAACTCAATATTGTATTTCCTCTACTATCATGGGGAACGGGGGTGTTGGTTTGGATTAGTGGGTCCCAAGAATTATTTGTATCATTTTCTTCATTTAAAAAATATATATATATTATTCATATTTTAATCAATTTAAAATTAAAAAAAGTGAAAATGTGAGACTCATAATGCCACGTAGGCAACTATTGGGGGGATATGACAGAAACTTTAACGGTGGAACCATATTGTAACAAATTTAAATATTTATTTTTGTCAATTTCATCATTTTCAATTCAATTTTTTTTAATAAAAATATTGGTAAGACATTCCGTCTTTTCTTTGCCTAGCATCGTCTCCTTCTTTTCTTGTTTCTCTCTCTCCCTTTTCTTCCCCCTACTTCATTTCAGTTTCTTGGTGGAATCGATAAAACCGCACCGAGAAACTGACGAACTGACTCAAGTTAAACTTAAAACATTTACAATTCACCCAACTTAATTATCTCTTAATTTGCCAATGGGGTTTAACTCAGTGAAAAGGGTTTTGACTTGTAGATTAATGGTCTCATATTCGAACTCTCATGACACATTAACAATATGTGTGAGAAAATCTCACGCCCCCAATATCGCTTGTATTAAAAATTTAAAAACAAAACTATTTACTTACTTCAAATTTAGCATGAAGATGTCCACCGGGAACTCTCCTTTGTAGTTTGTTTATTCATCACTGGAAAGCAAGAGCCATCCATTCAAAGGTCACGTTCTTGTAAGTTTCAAGTTTCAAGTGGGATTTGATTGGAATGTGAAGCCAACCCTTCAATTATTTAGCATAACATGCTTAATTTAAAATAAGAAGAGCTAGTTGTTCCCTTCATGTGGGGGTCCATTTCAGCTTCAACTGTTAAGAAATCTGCCACAAAAACAGGAAGAAGAAAAACAAACAAAAAAAAGCTGCAAGATCACGTGTTAATTGTAATCAATTTCCCCTCAAAATCAAAAGCATGGTTTGGTTTCAAAATTCAAAACCTAATCCCCCCTCCACTCCACCGACTCAGTTTGAATTTGGATCAAGTGAGATGAATCTCAGGCACATAATCTGGAAACAATATGTATTTCATCATTATCATTACATCATCACCGTGTGTCACAAGGATCATTATGGGACTCAACGGATTTTATATATACAAAATAATTAATGGGAATATACATCAGATGTGAGGAAATTACTTATATAATATTTTAATTAATCTTGGTTGTCATTTTAAAGACTAATAATTTGGTAATGATATTGCACGATCTGTGATTAATTTAGTTTAATTTTGAGGTTTTCTCTACCACCCCTTTCATCAGACATAGTTTTCTGATATGCTGACCCAAAAGAAAAAATATGAGAAGAAGATATGTCGACCCTTTTATTATTGCACGGCCCAATTCAAGGTTGTGTTGCTACTAATGAGGCAATCAACGAAAAACTTGGTATTTTTTTCACTTGAATATATATACAGAAATTTGCTATGTTCGGACGTTATTACTGTGTGGATGTCATGCTTATTTTTTATTCCTTCTTGTTTTTCTCTCTGTTTACAATGATATCCGCATTTAACGTGCGAACATCCGTATAAAAATAACTACATATATATTTATTCAAGTTAAATGAGTTGGCACCTCCTTTGGTGGGGTGTCTTTTTTCTTTCTTTATTTTGACCTTGTTTTATTCTTTTTTAAAGAAAAAATTGGGTTGTTTTGATGTTATTTTCTTATTCAACAAATGTAAACAAAGACCATTCAGATTTTTAATTATTATTATCGTTTAAGGGTATGGGAAATTTGGATTAGTCTACTTTTAAGCCTAAACATAAGATTAAGAAGTCTCATTTTCTTATACACGGTAGATCCGAAGTGCATGTTTTGGGTGGGGGATCTCGTCCCCTCAAATATAAAAATATACAAATTGTGGAGTCTTTTTTTATTTGGTCGTTGCCAGTCGTAGATTCTAAAGGATAAACAAACTTAAATAATACACCATAAAAAAAAATAATACACCATAAAAAATAATTTTCTGCACTTTCTCACATTCTCAATATCCCTGAATCTAAACAAGCTAACTTAAAATTTGAATGCTTTATGAAGTTTTCAAGCTATTAAGCCACAAAAAGTTGAAACTTTCAAGTAATGAAAGATAAATGGTTTTTATTTTATTTTTAATATAAGCAATAGTCTAAACTAAAGGGAATGAGAATATCTCTTACACATACAAAATTAAAATGCAATGTGGGTTCGAATCTGACAATGCTCTTTTTCATTGATTAGACCCCATTGGCAAATGATATTTTGAATGAGAGATAAACATGAAATCTAAATGATGTGCGTCTAAATTGTTTGATAAATCTAATCTAGGGTTTGAGTATTGTTAAGAACAAGAAGTATGTGACAATGGGTTATGTTTTATTCGGTAATTGGTGGGTTTGCATATCAGAAATTGGTGTGCATATTAGTAATTGGTGGTTTAAATAAAGGTAACTTATTATTATTATTATTATTAATACAAGTGATAGTTTAATTACTCTAAATTAATCTAATCTACGAGGAAAGAGACTTGAACTCGAGTGTAAAGGGGCAGACTCACTGCCCTGGCCAACTGACCTGATCCAGGTATGCAAAATAGGAGATGCTTGAAGAGTAGTTGATTGGGTAATACAGACCACACATTCATTTTTTCTTTATCAAGCAGGATGAGAGATTCGAAAATTCGTACGTTTCTGAACTTGAGCATATGTCTTTTTGTTTTAATTTTGAAACTTGAGGTTGAGAAGAGAATGGCTGCATTTTGCCTATCAAATCTTTCCAGAAATATTAAAGCAAATCTTTTCCTTTTAGAATGAACCAACAAATGTATCCAGTTTTAAAAAATTTATTAAACACAAATTGTGAGCTCTTAATTGGTGTAAGATTCAAATCATTAATCGGCTGCATTGCAACTGATAATAAAATCCTAACAAAATTCTCATGCAGATGCAGAAGATTTGGTCTACCAAGGGCATTATAGGAATTTCAAGTATCCTCCATGCAACGTGCCAAGCAAAACGACGCCACAGACAAACCCACAATGACCAAAAACTCCCTTCAAACTCCAAATACATAGGAACAAGTCAAACTGTACCAAAGTTGAAAATGTATCTTCCAGTTTACCAAAACAAATAAATAAATATAAATAAAACAAAAACAGTAAATATAATTTGAAAACCTCAAGAGGCTACCAGATTTCACGGTCAATTCAATAAAAAAATAAAAAAAAAATAAAATTAAACAAAGCCAACAGCACACTCAATGAACTGTCTTTTTACCTTTCCTAGTCAAACAGTCAACACCATTACAAAAAAGCTATTAATTTTATATTTATCATTAAATCAGTTTTTTCATTTCCATTTTAATTTTTCATTAACATTAACCAAGCAACAACCTTTCACTGCTTTTCTGTGTCAGAGTTTCAAATTGTGTGGCCCATCCCGCTCGCTCACACTTCCCCCCCCCCTCTCTCTCTCTCTCTCTCTCTAAAGCTCACAGAGCTCTTCTCTCACCTCCTATATCTGGAGGTCTTGGAGCTTGGAGGAGAGAGATTCAGGACAATCTTTCAGCCCAACAATGCAATGTGTGCGTCTATACGCATCAAAATCTGCGTATGTAATCATGGGCTTTTTAAATTTTTTTGGTTTAGTTCTAATGACAAATCGATTAGGGTTCGTGGGTTTTGTTGCTATTTTTGAAATTCTTCAACTTTTGGCTCGTTTGACATGGTTCTGTGTACCAATGTATGCTTGGTTAATGAGAAAATGTGGGAAAGAAAAAGGAAATGGATAAATTTTCAAGAATCTTTCTTTATCTTTTTGGGTGAATATTTGAATGATAATGAAAAAAAGCTCCACTTTAACTGAAGCTGGATTTCTCTACTTTTATTTTGTTTCTTCTTCTTCTTCCTCAAAATGAAAAATTTCCAAAGTAGGTCGTATTTCCTTTTGTCTTCTCCCATTTTATTGGGGATCAAACATGTCAAGGTCTCAAATTTCTGTGTTCAATTTGGAGATTCTGAAATTTCAAAAAATGGGCTCAAAGCAGAAATGATTTTTACCCGGAAGAGCTCAGCTTGATGCTTTTGCTTGATTGCTGAGAATTTGTGGGTAAAGCAAACGAGCTCAGTTTTTGAGTCCTTTGATGACTTTTGGTCCCACTTCCATCTGATCTGAGTAGCTAAAATTTGAAACTTTCAAGTTCTAGTTTGTTTTCTCAGAAACGAGTCTGTGGGTTTGACATTTTTTGGCTATGTCTTCATGCTTTTCCCTGGATTTCCCTTACAATTCATAGCTTGATTAGTGTGCCCAATGTACTATTAGTCTGAATGAATTACCAAAAAATGGGGTGTTAAGAATTTTTATTTTACTTTACAGCTGCTGCCACCCTTTGAACTTACCATCGGCATTTTTTTTTTCTTTATGATATCCATTGAACATCAAATTTTCTGTGTTTTCGAAACATCTTGAAATGAACCCACTTTGACATGAAAATTTTGCAGATTTTTCTGAACATGTCTATCATTTGAATAGAAATTTGGGTATAAGCTGAAGCAAGTCTTTTCCATTTATCTGTATTATGACAAAAAATGGTCAATTTAATGACTCTCCATGTAATTTGGTACTTTGGGAGTTTGCTCAGAAATATTATTTGCGACGTGACTTCATTCAAATATTTCTTATAGCCTGTTATAGATGCGATCTTGTGTAGTATATGAATAACATTATTTCGTCTGTCTATCAGATTTCAAAGTCCATACAGTTTTCTATGAGTAACTTTATATCCACCATCATAGTGTACTGTTCAACTGCACTCAAAAAGGTGCTCGGTCCATTTACAATCTTACATGCTTATCATGGTTTTCAATTACACGGGGGCCTCAGTTTGAAGTTGCATTACAATTTACAACATACCTGGATATCTTCATAGAAATGCCATATTTCCTGATTTCTTGATCTGTATATCTGTAGTTGCTTACTAATTATGCAGCTTCTTCTTTAATTTACTTGGCCCTGGTTTTGTTGCAGGTCACATTGACTGGTTCGATTTGATGTGGTGTTCTGCTTGTCTCTCATGTCTGCAAACATGAAGAGAGAAAATATGGTCACCTCCAATGTTAGAGAGATTCCTGGAAGAATAACACGTGCTCGAGCTGCTGCACTTCATACATCTGGACAAATGCCCCCAATAAAACCACCCACACAACAGAGCCAGAAGCAGGCTGTGCGAACAAATCCAAAAAGAGCTGCCACGGATGAGAACAGTACAAAAGCTGCTGGTAATGCATGTATGCAACGTAAGAGGAGGGCTGTGCTTCAGGATGTGACCAATGCTTGCTGTAAACCTTCATATGGGAGCTGCTTCAATGCAACTAAAATTCAGGTCAATGTGCTGTTAGATTTTTCATAAAGGTTGTGCAAATACAATAATACGCTTGGTTTATGCATTGTACTATATATATATATATATATATATATATATATATATATATATATATTGTCATGAAAGCTTTACTTTCTTTTTATCCCTCAAGATTCTGAATACTGCCTCTTATTTTGCTGAATGCAGGTTAAGAACAGCAAGCCAGCTAAAAAGGGTCAGGCAAAGCTGACGAAAATGGTCCCTTCTGTTGCAGTAGATTCAAAAACGGAGGCTGTGCAGGGAATTGTAAAACCAGAACTAACATCCGACTTACATTCAATTAATTTGGAAGATGGAAACATGCTTATGTGGTCAACTAAGGATGTGAAAGATGTTCATCAGTCAGAAAATCAGAGTTCTGGATCTGGAGTGGCTTCAAAAGTCCAAAGCCCTTCAAATAAAGGTTTGCCATTTCTTTAGTTCTCTCTTCCGAACAGCATACAAGCTCGAGTTGAAATGAGAGATAGGAGCTTGTATATCAATGTATGGCAGCTTTGAGGAATGAAATATGTCTACCCTTACCTTTGTCCACTTTTCCATTCTACCTACCCATAATGTACAAAGGATAATAGGCTGAGAAACATCATGAGTGAAATTCAATGTTCTGATTAGCTGTAATTTGGAACCATAATTCAGTAGTTCTTATGTAGTGCAGAGCTCAATGGCGATATGAGCTTAGAAGGTTTAATCTGAGGAGGTTCAAATATCTGGTTGTTTCTCTTATCAGCAATGAGGCCATATGCAGTACCGACGTGAATAACATATCATACATATGTTTACAGTAAATTCAAATCCAACTCTAAAAGCTTAAACAAATACAGACTATTCATGAAAATTATAACTGACTTGGTTTCACTAAATTACAAGCTGAAGATTTATGAGAGGACAGAAATAGGTGTTGAAAATCATATTAAACTATTTTGGTTCCAACATGATTCCAAAATAAGCATTCTGCAAATCTTTTCCTCTTCTAATATTATGCTTCTCCGGGTCCTAACGTTATATGACCCTTTTTTATTCTTAAGACAGTTGATCCATGCCATTGCAATACAATGCTTTTCTTACCTACTTTGAGTGCTGGATGCCAAATGCTAATGTTTCTTTTAAGGATTTTCTATGGCTTTAGTATGCAGTAGTTTGTGACCTTTAGTATTAAATTGTGCAGCACATGATGGTAGCCTTTCAGTGGACATGGTTACATCGAGCAACCAACATATTGTTAACATTGATGCAGATTACAAGGATCCTCAATTGTGTAGCCTCTATGCCCCTGATATCTACAACCATTTACGTGTTGCAGAGGTTTGTGCTGTTTGACGTTATTTAATATGTACAGAAGCTCCTTTCTAGTAGCACCAGTATTTTCGTTTTGCTATACTTTACAGTGTATAATTAATCAGTTAGATACCAGTGCTACTCAGTAATGGACAAGATGATGATGTGTATTGAATTGTCTAGTTTAACAAGCATAACTACCTCAAATCACAATGATGTAGTGCAACTTAAGAGGCATCTGAATATCTGATTTATGATTCCCGATATGTTGTATAATACTATTTTTCAGCCTTCTCTATCCATGACAACAATATTTTGTTTAGAGGAATGTCTAGTAAAGGTTAAAACCGTTTTTCTTCTTCCAGCCTTTTTATTTTTGTGACCGATCAGCCATAAAGAATGTTAGAACCGTTTCTTTCCATACTGTCCTACAGATGCAAAAGGGACATGACTGGATTCTTATAAAAACTTTAAATAACAAATGAATACTATGTTAGATGCTGTTGGAAGTGAACATGTTGCATTCAAGTGGCACGGGTTGCAACTACATCTTTAATACCAAAAACATGTATAACAAATTTCTTTCTTAAGTCCAAGTCTGATAATTACTCAGATGGACTGCCTTTATTAAGTTGTATCCAGAAGTGAACTTGTATATATCTCATCTTTATAAAGGAACAAAGGATTCTCGTAAAGGATTCCATTTTGAGGCTACTCCTTTTTGGGTCTGTCCAAGATTTTTCTCATATGATGCTGTTGTTCTGGTATGCATACTAGTCTGTCATGAGTTTTTACTAATTAAAACATAACTCATTGTTTGATAGTGAATGATAATGCAATACTAAGCTACACTGCTATATGGTCGTGCTATTCCTTGTGCAAGCAAAAATAAAAAACCTATTCTTTTTGCACTCATTTTGTTTCCAGCACAGAGAGTGCAATCAGTGCTGGTTCCTACTTCAGGGTTCTAAACTATGAGCTTTCATCTTTCTATCCTCTCTTCCTCTGTGTGACAATTGGCTACAAAATTTTGTTTTGACAGCTTGACCGAAGGCCAAATGCTACTTTTATGGAAACAATACAGCAAGATATCACCAAAAGTATGAGAGGGATTTTAATTGATTGGCTTGTAGAGGTTTGCATGGTTCCTTTACCTATTAGTTCTAATTTCGTAGTTACATAGCTCATGTATCTGATTAAGTAGGAAAATATAGGTTGTAGTTTATGTAGCTATGTGATGTCCCTTTATATTAGTGAGGATATTACTGTCGTTTTGTACCAAATATATTCATATTGGATATTTCAAATTCATCTTTATGGATTGAACTGAGAATTTCAATCTTCATACAATGCAAGTTAATCTTGGTCAAAACTTTTTATCTTGCTCTGGAATTTGCCCCACGTAGTGTCTTTATCAGAATGGGATGAACATATGCTAGTACTATATCAATGGCATTTATGTCACCCTTCCTCTTGATTTATCAAGGATAACCCTAATAGTTGTATAATGAAAAGGAACGAGTTCCCTGGTGCATATACTGCAAGTTTTTGGCTCAATAATTGTCTAATGAAATACTGAAAGGTAACTGAGGACTGTTTTCTAACAGTCTTTTTCAAATTATGGCTGGTTTTTGTCCTCTGACGTGAAGTTAAACATCCCTTACAATGCCTATGATTTCACTTTTAGAATCATGTTATGAAATGTTCAGCATTAAATGAGAAGGCATGTTTAGACTTTTACCTGATATTGCTACCCTGCTTCTAAGATTGTTTTGTCTCTGTTTTATATTGTAATTTTTCTTCACTGATGACTTGCTCAATCACATTTATATACAACTTGCACAATAAGTCTTATATTCTAAAGAAGAGCTGTACATAGTGATGCTTCTTATTTTTCTGTTCAATGATGAAATGCTCTATTGTGCTTTACATAAAACGTGTGAATACTAATAGAAGTAATTTGATCCAAATAATCTTTGGTTTCAGGTGTCAGAGGAATATAAGTTGGTGGCTGATACGCTTTACCTCACAGTCTATCTCATCGATTGGTTTCTCTGTCATAATTACACTGAAAGGACTAGACTTCAATTGCTTGGCATCACTTGCATGCTAATTGCCTCGTAAGCTTTCATACCTATAGTAGGGTTAACTGCATTACTTGATTAGAACTTATGATGTAGAGCCATTAACAGGGTATTTTAGTTGTCAAAACTATGGATAAGGCGGATTCTCTGGTAATAATACAATGATCAAACCACTTATATCTTGATAATTGTGATTTTATCTGATGCAATGTCTCTGTTATGGGTAAGTCCAGATCTTAGCAGTTGAAAATAGAGAAACATAAATAAGTCCAATATTTTCTGTCGCTGTTTGATGTTGAGAAGTGAATGTACAACGTTGTTGGTTTTCTTTAGATCCTTGGTCACTCAGAAGTCAGAAGGAATTTGTATTGAAATTGCCCAACATGCTTTATCAACGGAATATGCTTGGCGTGGACACATTTGGGCAACAATTGACTTGGCTAGTGCAATTTTGAATAATATTCATTAATATTGTATCACCTTAAATTCCAGATTAGTTTCTTCAATATTGCCTGTTTCCTTTCGATCAAGGACCATTAAATGGGGAAGAAGAAACCTTCACCAAAAGACCACATGATTGTTTTGTATGGACATCATCTGAGTTTACCGACACAATAAGATTAATCTTTAATTGTTGAAGATTTAAAGACTATTAGGATCCGATAAATTTAATTCAGTTATGAATCTCTTGCAAGTGATTGTAAAGTTAGAAGTTTCAAGGGTTCATTCAAATGCATTTTACAGAACATAGTATCTATCAGAATCTTGTTTAATGTGATTGCTAATGTGGTTCTCTTCCCTGTTTATTATTTTTAAGGAAATATGAAGAAATTTGTGCACCGCGTGTGGAAGAACTTTGTTTCATGACAGACAACACTTACTCAAAAGAGGAGGTATGTGATTGCCCGTTTTTATTCCAATAGACTGGTTAGATTACTATGAGTTTAAGTACTGATGAGAAAAATCTTAAGAGTTAGCCATTTGAGTTCTAAAAAGTACATGCTTGCTAGGGGATGCTCCTAAACTAGTATGATGCTGCCTCTGCACATAAATAGATGAGATGAAAATGAGGAGTTTACGAACTCAAAGAGAGTAATTTCATTTTAAGCGTTCTTTTGTCACCCTGTTATAAATGCAAAGATGGCAGGATGCCTTTTATTTCCCTGTCATGGGTCTGAAGTTTTATGAAAAAAAAATCTTTAACTGCTCTCCTCTCTCTCTCTCTCTCTCTATACTGAAAACTGGAAACCTGAGGTACTTGTATGTTTATGTTAGTGATATGAATAAATAAAAATGGCAGGTATTGAAAATGGAGAGTCAAGTATTGAAGTATTTTGGCTTTCAACTTTTTGCACCAACAACTAAAACTTTCCTCAGGTACATCTGACATACGGTATCAGTTTCCTTTATTGATAGTTTCAATATGCTATTGAATATCGCTAATGCGCATTCATTTTCAGGAGATTTCTTCGAGCAGCACAAGCTTCTTATAAGGTAACTTCATTAGTTAAAGTTGCTTTTGGCCTTGGTTTGCAGATACTATGCTCTTTTTGTTTTGACCTTCGGTTTGAAGAACGACTTACATATGTAATAACAAATTTTTTGCAGACTCCTAGCCTTGAACTGGAGTACTTGGCCAATTATCTTGCTGAACTAACTTTGGTTGACTATAGCTTCTTGAATTTCCTTCCTTCCGTCGTTGCTGCATCAGCTGTTTTTCTTTCCAAATGGACCTTAGATCAGTCCAGCCATCCATGGGTTTGTCTTTTCTTCCTTGGCGTTTCACTATTTTCTTCTGCATGTTGATTATATACTGGAAATATGACTTCAGTTGTAACTCTTAACAGAATCCAATACTAGAACACTATACCCGTTACACGCCATTGGATTTGAAGATCACGGTTCTTGCTCTGCAAGATTTACAGTTGAACACCAATGGTTGTCCTCTGAGTGCTGTACGCATGAAGTATAGGCACCAAAAGGTATCAAAGAGCAAGAGTATAAAGAAACTGCTGTTTACTGTAAACCTTTCTAAAATCGGTAGAATTTTTTCATTATACCACAACTGGAACACTATGTGAATTTTCTATTAATGAGGTGGTTTTCGTTGTGGCAGTTTAAATCCGTAGCGGGTTTGTCATCCCCAAAACTCCTTGAAACACTATTTTGAAGATGATTTCAAGTGACAGCTAACAGAGACTGAGACATGTACACTTTCCGGACAGAAGTTACCTCTGGATTTTGTCAATCACTCCATGAGGTTGTACTTGATGTGCCACCTTAATCCTGTCTCCATTCCATTTATATTCATTTTGTCCAATTTCTTAATTCTTGTTTATAGATTTTCTGACCTGGTTTTGTGCTTGATCAAACCTGTGTCTTTGTAAAATTGACCTAGGGATGTCTGGCCACTTAAGTATTAAACTTGGTTACATGAATTGTTAATAGTCATTATGTTCAGTTTAAACTAGCTCTTAATCAGGCCCTGACCACAATTTAATTAAGTTGTAATGAGTGAAATGTAACTTTTTCCAGGCAAAGCTTTTAATCTAATGAATCAAATTTATTTGCAGTTGTCTTGTGATTGTGGCTCATTACTCTTCTTATGATGAACTTTTAAGTTTCTTCTCGTTTTCCATTGCCCTTTTCCCCCCCTTAATTAGTGCTCCTTGCCCCAAAAAAAAAAAAAACTACTTGGCTCCTTACAGATTTGTGAGATAGCTTCTTCGAAAACATGCTTAAGCTTTGCCTTAGAGTGATGAAGAACGGTACTACGTGAAATGACATAATCACCCAAATCAGGCCTCCATGAAGTACTCAACCTTCCGCTATAAGAACATGAGCTGAACAAAAACGTTGCGAGTAGCCTGCAACCAAGAGACATCACTAAGGCCTAGTTTGGGATTGCTGCCGCTTTAAAAAAAAGCTGCTTCTGCTGTGCTTTAAGAAGAATCAGCTGTAAAGTAAAGCAGTTAAACGTTTGGTAAACTGTAATTTTAAAAGTGCTGTGAGTATGAAAAGCAGTGTCAGAGCGTTTGGTAAATTTTACCGTAAAAGTGTTGTAACTATTTATAATGACTAAAATGGACATGATGCTGAAAGTGCTTTTTACTAATCTGTTTGGTAAAAAATAAAACTGTAAAGTGCTTTTATACTTTTCTCCCTAAAAATTATATTAATCTTTGCTTAAAGAAAAGAAAAATTCAAATTGAATAAACTCCAACAAAGATAATTATGTATTGAATAAATTCCAACAAAGATAAAGAGATCACCACGGTAGTAGGTTCATACACCATCCTTGATATTGAATAAGTAATAAACATTTTTTTAAGGTTTGAATTGTAGCAATAAAAACAAATTGAAACTAGGCTTAAATAAATGGAAATAAAGAAAATGTCTAAGAAGATGCATGCATTAAACTTGCAGCAATCTTGTTCCTTAATGTTTCTAGTTCTTGTGCTCCAGGCCCTTGAGTAATGTGATAATATTTGTGAGTAACCCGCATCCACAAGATAATATTTTCCTGTAACCAATAAGATATGTTTAATTATAATATAAATTGAAAGTGAAAAATTTGAAGTTTAATGATATGCACATATTTGAAACATTACCATTTGGGGGTTTGGGAAAATTTAAAGCATTATTTCGTAACGCTGATAAAAATACTCTTGTATCGTGTGCAGTGCCTTCCCAACCTGCACATGCAAATATGAATTGCATGTCAAAATTACATGCACCCATTATGTTTTGAGTCGGTATTCCTTTCCTGCCAATATATGGTACTTGATCTTCATGAGGTATTGAGGCTTTAACATGTACGCCATCTATAGCACCAATGCAATCCTACAAACAATAAGAGAAACATTTCAATAAATATTACTTTGTTCCTAAAACAAATGATAAATTGTTGTATCTAATTTTTACCTTAAAATGGGGCATATATCTTGAATCTCTCAATATCTCTTCCGGGACTCCCTTAAACTCAGGATCCAATGGTTTTATGATATCAACGGCCATAAGGCATACAATATCAAGTAATTTACCAAAGAAATATTATATTACAAGTATGCAGATTATATAAACATAACATTTGAATGAAGAAGAAGATGAAGAAAAATAAAGCCCATTGACAACCAATGGAGCCCTCGCAAACCAGTAGAAAAATAAAAAAATAAAAAAATAAAAAAGCAAGAGCAGCACGTATATAAAAAGTTTGAGAGATTGAAGAGATTGAAGAATCTACCTTGTGAAAGAGATTGAGAGAGATTGAGAGAATGATTGTCTCCAAACTTGGGAGGCTACGTGAAGATGAACTTTGGTGTCTGTAGATTTGAGAGAAATACGTGAGGATAGATTTCTAACCTAATAAGGGTATTTGTGGAATTGCAAAAATTTCATTAAAGGGAGCGCGCTGCTTCAATTAAAAGCAGCTTTAAAAAGCAACCCCGAGGTTGCTTTTAAAAGTTGCTGTCAAAAGACCATTGCTTTTAAAATAAGCAGGATATTTTATTTTTACCAAACACCTTAAACTGCTTAACTTTAAAGTTAAGCAGGTTTTTGGGGAAAAAAAGCAATCCCAAACGGGGCCTAAAGTCGCAGATAACCAAACTAGATCAAGGTTTCATTTCGAAAATCTGTAATAATAAGGTTGCCAAATGTTGGGTTTCTGACTATATGATATCCATTTAGGTCGAAACCTACCGTTTTGGTCTTTTAAACAATTATTAAATTACAAAGAGCTTGTAGCTCAAATTGTTAAAAAATATTTATCTTTGCAACCAAAGTTCTAAGTTCGATTTTCCCTCTTCAAATCTCGATTGTATAACAAAACTACCGAAAAAAAACCTACTATTCTTATTTATTTTTGAATTTCCTAAGGAATCCTTTATATTTGCATGTCTTTGATTTGAAAGTTAAACGGTTTTTCTGTTTTTTTTTTTAAAGCTTGGGCTTTTTTCAAAAACAATTTTTTATTTTGTGGTTAAAACCTAAATTTACTTTAAATTTATCCATTTGTCACCCTGCAGGTAATAAAATATTGATTTTGAAGTGGTGGATGTATACAATTTTTGCTTTTTCATATATCCACTACAAAAGAATTGGATTTTACGACCCAAAAAAGAGAGAACAGTGAAAAGTATGGGTAGTTTAGTACTTTCCAACAAACAAGATTTTGTGTATCGTTACCCTCGTTACCGCACACAGAACTACCATGACCATTGGTTATATCTCCTGCACAGCTTTGGGAAAACATCATCAACAGAGATAGCGAGAGAGATGAAAATGGCGGCCTTGAATATCTTATCTCAGCCATGGCCACCTACGCCCTCTCTCTCTGTTTCTAATTGTTATTATTCTTTCTGTAATACTAGTAAGTCCAATAGTAGTAATAAATCACATTCTTTGTCTCATTCTTATCACTTCTCTCTCCTCTCTTCTCTCTATGGATCAAATAGACCATACCCATCATCTAAGCTCTCTGCAATGCCTACCCATTTCTCAAAGTCTGGTAATTTTTCTATTTCCAGATATAATTTCATTTACTTCTCCATTTACTTTGCTTGCTACTCAATGTGAATTTGATTCTTGTTACATACATTTTATCCTGCATTCGATAATCGCTCAGGAAGAGTAAGAATCTGATCAAAATAGAAAGCAAAATGGAAAAAAAAAAAGAATGGGAAGTTTGGAGATTTATTAAAGTCTCATGCTTTGTCCCTCATGGGATAGCTGAATGGTTTAAAGGGTCCAATTTTCCCATGCCAGACCCGGTTCAAGCTGCAGTACGTAGTTGTTCTTGGGTAATTTTAGGAAAAAATAAAAGTATTATGATTTTAAGGGTTCATAAGAAAACGGGACAAAAACATTGTAGAAAGTTAAGATAGATTCTTGCAATATGCATATATTCTTCAGCTTTTCGTGCCAGAAGTACTGGTTAACATGTATAAAGTTATTTAGATGCAATGTTGAATACTTCTGGTTAAATGGCATCAATGGAGTACTCAACAGAATAAGTCCTGACACTTGAGTATCCTAAGAGCAGGTCGTAGATATCATGAAACTGGAGCAACAATTTTGAGCCCTTGTCAATGAAGTTTTGAAATATCAAAGTCCACATCGTTGCGGTATCTTCGGAATAAAAACTGTATTTACTGGAAGCAAATTAGCATGCAATCCATACCCTACTGAAAAGCCACTGTTCTCTTTTTGGAGGTTCGTACATAAGATATTGGCATTTTAGGGAAGAGTGTTTGATTGGTCACAATTTACTAAAGCCGTATGGATGGATTCCTTCAATTCTTTAGAGCTGTGAGCTTATTTGTCCTTTCTCTTAGGGAGCTTGTTTAACTAATTGCAGTTGGACATTTGTAATGTCTCCTCATCTCTCCATTTGGGGTCTAGCCTTCTTATTAAAAAATTTATGTATCTTCCATTGGTTGAAAGCTGGTCCTCTTCCTCACAAATCCCATCTCTTTCATGGGTTGAACCGATAACTTGCTCTTGTGAAAAAGGAGAGGAACCACTTTGTTTGAAAGTACTGGTCAACTAACAGAAATTTACAACTAAGGCTTATACCTCAGTTACTTGAGGTGGATCAACTTAGCTGCTTTTTTTCGCCTTGTAGGACATCATTTCTTTCCTCATGACCCCTGCCTGTGTTATTTACTATTGTGCTTTCTTTATGCTTACTCAGATACAAGTACAATCTTCTTATTAAGGCTAAATATCTCTTCTTATTAGAGCTAAATATCTTCTCCTATCCACTTTCTAGCTTATTGATCGCCTGTATGTTGAATAACTGATTTGGAAACTTAACTAACCTTACTGCAGTTTTAGGGCTTAGAATTTTTACATTTATGTCTTGCACTATCTTTAGTTATATTCTGAATCTATTTCCATGGGGAATCTTTTCCTTTAACTTAACAAAAATAGAAGGAAAAAGCCCTTTTGTTCATTGGTGATCATATAGAATACGGATATAGGTTCGCAGATATATATACCATGCAAAATATTTTTAATATATAGTAATGGGTGAAGCTGAATAGTCTGAATATGGTCTATATCGTGGCTGCAATTAGAAGTTGATCACAGCAAGACTGTTCTTCACCTCTTTTCTCTTTCAGGGATTCTTCTTGCAGGCAGTGGATGTTCCTGGATGCAAGACAATTCTATGCGTCACAACAATGCTGCCGGCAGTGAATGTGGGCAGGGCCAATTGTATTCTGTGTTTCCTACACAGCCTGCAGAAGTTTCTTCTGTGCAGGACCTTTTTAGCTTTATATGCTCAGGTCCATTGATAAACAAATTGGGTCTGACCCCAGAAGCAGTGGCTGAGTGCATTGACAAATGGTTGTCCTATGGGTTGCACCTCTGTCGGCTGTTTCAGCTCAATGAATTGTATCTGACGGAGCCTCAAAAAGTTAGGCTTTATCACTACTATATTCCGGTATTTTTTTGGTGTGATGATCAGATTTCTCAGCACAGATCCTTGTACAAAGATGGAGAAGATATACCTCCTCTAGTGGTACATCATTTCTACTCCAATTATCCCCTCTTTTTTTGTACTCTTAAGTTTCTGCATTGGGTTGAATTCTGTTGGCATTTGAAAAGGTATATCTGTCTCCAGAAATGATTGCATCTATGAAGAGCAATTGGTGCCATTGTTTATTTTTAGTTTTTGTTTCGTCTTATGGTGCTGATTTTTGGTCTGTGATGCAGATTGGTTTTAGTGCACCACAAGGTTGTGGAAAGACTACACTTGTGTTTGCTCTTAATTATCTATTCCAAATTACGGGCCGGTAAGCTATGAGAAACTGATACTCTAGATGATTCATAGAAAGATAACGGGATTTGGTATTGCTGACAATTTGTTCAAATATCAGGAAGTCTGCCTCAATATCCATTGATGACTTTTATTTGACGGCAGAGGGTCAGGTATTTTTTAGGAAATTTGTGGCACATTTTTCTTTATTTTATTTTTTTGTCTGATGCGATATTGTATTATTTGTAGGCCAAACTACGAGAAGCAAATCCAGGAAATGCACTTTTAGAGGTAGCAATCAACATATGTTCCAAGTAATTCAACTTAAGACAGTTAACAAGTTGATTGTAAACCATTAGAAACTGAACATGCTTTCTGATGCAGGATGCATATGACCTAAATTTATTAGTTTCCTAATGTATTTGTTAGTTTCCTAATGTATTTGTTAGTTTCTTAGATTCTCTAGTTTTCCCAATTCTGGTAGGATTTCTACTTTTCCAGATTTCCAGATTTTCTAGTTTTAAGTTTCCTATTTTATTTGGGTTAGTATTTCTGTTTAAGCAAGGGATTTTTATCCTATTATGTCTAGGTTTTAGTTTTCTATAAATAACCCCATGTAGTTCTTTAAAATTCAAATTTGAATGTTGAGTAAACCTTTTCCTAGAACTCTCTGATTTCGTCCCTTCGATCTATATTTCTTCTCCTCGATCTCCGATATTCTTCTTTGTTCTACTGTTTCTGTCCTTTATCTTGTCTTTTCGATCTCTATTTCTTCTCCCCGGTCTCTTATATTCTTCTCTGTTTTATTGTTAATTGCTTAATCTAACACCTACGGGCTGTACTACATCACTTTCTTATCAATAACACTGTCTATTCTTTTATTTCTCGTGGCTTGTAGTTACGTGGAAATGCAGGGAGTCATGATCTTACATTCTCTGTTGAAACCCTGTCTGATCTAAGCAAATTGAGTAAAGAAGGTGATTCTCCTTCATTCATTTTCCTCTGCTATAAATGCATGCCTGTTTCATAACTATCCACATCTAAATTGTTCAGGTATGAAGATGAAGCTACCCCGATATGATAAGGTGCACAACAGTGAAATTTTGCTTTTCTTATTATTATTATTTTTTCCATCAACCAGTTTTTAGTTCAAAGTGGCTCTTTATAACTTGTTTCATGTTGCAGTCCGCTTACAATGGAAAGGGTGACAGGGCTGATCCGTCAACATGGCCAGAAGTTGAAGGGCCACTTACAGTAAGTCTGTAAGAGGATTTTCTGTAATGTCTGGCAATCAGTGGGCTTAGGTTGATGCAAATTGGGGGGCTGATACTGTATGGCCCATGTAGCAACCTGATTATATGAAGATAGATGTTTGAACATATCAAGAATCAAGATCTCACAAATGCTATGTTGAAGTGTTTTTTAGAAGTAATAATAGGGTTTGGATGTGAAATCAATAGGTCAAACCCAAAGGTAATTAGTTAGGTGGTTTCAGTAAGCTTTGTACACAATTCTGGAAAGAGTATTTCACCTCGCAATTTCTTTGTGTTTTGGCTGGTTATGCAGGTTGTTCTATTTGAAGGTTGGATGCTTGGTTTCAAACCCCTTCCTGTGGAAGTTGTCAAAGCAGTTGATCCGCAGGTTAGAGGACTGGAAATATATTGTGGGACTTTGTTGATATTACTTGCGCCCAGTACAAATTCATTAATTATTTTAGTTCTATTAAAGACAGTTACAGCTCTAATGTGAATTTTTCATTAAACAGCTGGAGACAGTAAATAAAAATCTTGAAGCTTATTATGATGCATGGTATAAGTTCATCAAAGCATGGATAATTATCAAGATCAAGGATCCGAGCTGTGTGTACCAGTGGCGTTTGCAGGTGGGGTTTCATGTTTTCATCTCGTGCAACCAAAATGCAGTGTTTCTCTTTTTAAGTACTTTTTCTCATTGTCATTGCTTAATTAACAAGTGTTTCCCTGAACTTGCAGGCAGAGATTGCCATGAGAGAGGCAGGGAACCCTGGAATGTCCGATGACGAGGTTGCTAGTCTATCTATATTTGTATCTTATAAACTGTCTGCTG